CCATTTTGTGCATTGTTGTGAACTCTGCTGTATGAATATTTGTTATAGCCTTGCGGGGGATAGCTCTTTCGTTTGTGTAACATATTGCTATTTTTTTTTCTTTCAGGTGGTGGGAGATATACATGCTGTGAAAAATGCTATTGCAATAATTTCTTCTCGCTTGAGGGAAAGCCAGCATCGTGACAGAAGCAATTTTAATAATAACAATAATAATAATAACAACAACAATAATAATAACAATAATAATCGACTACATTCACCGGACCGTTTCTACACAGCGGATGATGATTTCCATGCAAACAATACAACAAGACGATCATCTGCAGAAGGGCCTGGTTTTGGATCGAGATATTCTGCTGGATCAAGGGGCAATAACTACTCTTCACGTTCGTCTGTATTCAACACTGAATTTGGACCTTCTACTGTAGCTGAAAATGCTCAATCTTTTTCCGGCGAGGGTCTTGTGTTTCGCATACTTTGCCCCGTTGATAAGATTGACCTTGTTGTTGGTGACTCAGATGGGATTGTGGATTTGCTTCAAAATGAAATAGGTGTCGATGTTGATGTTTCTGATCCCGTTTCTGGCTCGCATGAGCATGTTATAATCATATCATCCGACGAGGTAGTCATCCTTCCCTATATCTTTCTTTTGATCCTATCTCTGCGTCTTCTAGAAGGTTCTTGTAAGCTGATACTTGCATGTCTTTTAGGGTCCTGACGATGAGTTGTTTCCTGCACAAGAAGCTTTGCTGCATATTCAAACACGCATCGTTGATCTTGTTCCCGAAAGAGAAAACGTTATCACCACTCGGTTACTTTTGCAATCCGATGAAATTGGTTCGTTAATTGAGATGGGGAAAATAGGGGGTGCTAATATAAAGATCCTGCCAAGAGAAGAACTTCCTGCGGGAGTTTCAGTAACAGATGAAATTGTAGAGGTTTGTCACTCTCTCTCTGTTTTTTTTTTTTCTTTTTTGGTTTTTATACATATGTTTACGATTCCTTGAAGATCACCATTTGCTTTGAGATATATTTGCCTCTATGGCTTCTTAAATGTACTTAAGTTCAAATTGACAAGAAAAATACCCCCTTTTTTTTGTCTGGAGTAAAAAATGGTGGTTTTCATAATTTCTCTTGTTGCAACTTGCAAGTGTCACTGCTTGGTTTTCTTTTGAACTTTCCAGTGCTTGAATTTCTGACCAAGATATAACCCCACCGTATTTACAAGACTGCACTAAAAACCTTTGGCGATGGAACTACTAATACAATTCTGACATGTATACCCTTTATTCTCTTGCATATAGATAATCGGGGAGATCAAAGCTGCTCGAGAGGCTCTTGTGGCGGT